ATAATATAGCCATTGTGTTAAATAAAATAAAATATCTATACTATCTATATGAATATAAATATTATTATAAATAATAATAAAATATACAGAGTGAAAATAAAATAAAAAAATTAATTAAATACTGTAAAATCAAAAACAACATATAAACTAGTCAAATGCCTGAATGATTGTGTGTTTGTATGGATTTTGTTCAAATGTAATCAAATTTGATCAATTTGCACTTCATTTTTACCATTATTCTGCATAATAAATGTGTGTTGTGTGTGTGTGTGTGGCAGGTGTGATTGCTGTGTCCATGACGGAGAGACTTTCTCTTGAAGAACGGATCGATAACTCCACTAAACTCCTTTTAAACCCGTCCTACATTCTCTTCTGGAACTTCACTGACCCTATAAATCCCCAGGTAATGATAATTATCATTATCAAAATCACCACTGTATATTAAGTATACCAGAGTACCAGTATACTGTATAAGTAGAAAATACACAAATATTGCTTTCAAAATAGTAATATGCAACACTGGTCACATGACCTCATTAAGTTGTCTTTAATTCAGTATGTGGCATGAATATAAAAAAGGTTCATTCTGAGTGTATAAACAGGCAGTTTTAGATGAAGATGATATGATCAGTGTAAATAAAAGCGTTCTATTGTGCATCCCTTTAAATAGAAGCAGAAACCCAACACACCTGAATGAAGTTTTCGTATTTCAGCAGATGATTTTAGCATGAAGCTGATGTGAGATTGAGTGTAGAAGGTGTAATCTGATGACATGAACAGAAAGCTGTTGTGACCTGAATCCGTCTGTCCATTGTTTGCGTTGCAGCTGCAGCTGGAATGTCCTGATGATGTTCTGTGCTTCCAGTTCTGTCCGTCCGACCCAAATATCATCGCTGGCGGCTGCATGAACGGCCAGGTGCACAATTAGATCAGAAAAATTATCTTTTCTTTCTCAGTCTCTTCTTTAAACTGTTCTTCCTTTCATTTTTTTTCTTTTTATTGTTAATTTTACCTCTTGTGCATCTGTTTTGATTATTTTTAAGGTAAGACACTATAGGGTGAAAAATGTTAACTAATAGATATTACCATACTACCCCAGTTGATTAATCACAGTACATTAAGATAATTGTTTTATATAATTCTCTGAAAAACAAGTTTTCTTAAATCTGCAAAAAGAGGCATTTTCTATTTAAATATGCAGTTATTTGTGTACAATTCCATAAAATAGATATGAACATCGGATAAAGTCAGATTCAAAATTCTTATTTGATTTTGTTGACATATGTGACACAAAAGCAGTCTGAAGTCGCTGGGGTATATTTGTAGCAATATCCAACAATACATTGTATGGGTCAAAATGATAGATTTTCCTTTTATGCAAAAAATCATTAGTATATTAAGTAAAGATCATGTTCCATGAAGATATTTTGTAAGTTTCCTACCGTAAATATATCAAAACTTAATTTTTGATTAGTAATATGCATTGCTAAGAACTTTAGATTTTAGATTGTTTTGCACCCTCAGATTCCAGATTTTCAAATAGTTGTATCTCGGCCAATTATTGTCCTATCCTAACAAACCATACATCAATGAAAGCTTATTTATTTAGCTTTTAGATTATGTATAAATATCAATTTAAAAAAAATTTACCCTTATGACTGGTTTTGTGGTCCAGGGTCACACATTAGAGTTAAAGGTTTTTATAGAGGGGATTTTGGATTTCTCTTTTTATCACTCCATAAATTAAAAAAATACTGTCAACAGACAGAAAAAAGACATTTTCTCCATGTTTTTAGGAATAAAATGTTATATAAATCAATGATATATGAAGAAACCCTTCAGTAAAAACCTTCAGAATATAGAGAGGAATAAAACTGTTAAGTTTGGTGTATATAAGTGCTGCTGAAGTGGAGAACAAAACTTTTAAAAAATGTATTGTAATGGGCATCTACAGATGCAAATAGATCAACTGCTATGAAATAAACACTTAAATGTATAGTATGGAGGTTTTCTTTCCTCTAGTCTAAAAGACAACATGTTATTGAAGCAAACGAGCCCAGTGCATGAAAAAACAATAGTTTTGTCTGTAGTGTTTTTTTTGCACTTTGATTTACCATTGTGTATAAAATGTGCTGTATAAATAAACTTACTTTGCCTTACAATGCACTCTCAGCAGAAATGTTACTTATTTTTTTTCCCTTTAAATGGCTTTCAACCGCTTACAATCTGGAAGCACTTCTCCACAAAGGCCTAAAACATAGCAAACACATTATGTTCTGGTTATATTAATGTTCAATACAAGTATCTATGTGCATCATCTGTGACATGGTAACATATTGTAATACTTTTAACTCATGACATGCAGCATATTCATTAGCTGGTTTTGTGTTTACAGGTAGTATTATGGGATATCTCCGCACATGTGGAGAGACTGCAGGACACACGCAGCGGCAGCAAAAACATTTCAAGCAAACTAGTGAGTTACACACACACAGCTGTTGTGTGTTTAAACTAGTGGCTGTCCACAACCAGTCATGTGACTCCTGATGATCTATTTAGAGGTCATTTAATTAAGTGACGCTTAAATGATACCTTATACAAACACACTTACACAATCACAGAACATTAAACCTGCTGTGTGTGTTTACGACTGTTTACTTTGTGTGTACTGCCATATTGTGTCCATATGTGAGCTAAACGTGACAAAACCTGTCTTTCATGACATCCTCAAATGTAAAAATTATATATAAATGAAGATTGTGTTAGTTTCTAGTCATTATTATTAGCTTTATGTAAAAACAATCCTGGGTTATGGTTTTTGCTTATTCAGATACACTGTAAAAAATATTGCCGTTTTAATGGTAAAAAAAAAATTTTTTTTAAATGCTACAGTAAAAATCTGTTCATTGGTTAGAGTAAGTTCCCTTGCTCTTTAATATCTAATGGGAAATTTCATGTAATTTTTGTTAAGTGTACAGTTTTTGGAAGTGAAAATGAAGTAATATCATAATATAAAGTGAATTTTTTAAAGATGGTTGTCAGATAAAATATTTGGTATATTAGCATATTTCAGTTATTTAAATATGTTTTTTACTGTAGATTTAAGTTCTGTAAATTTAATTGTAAATTCTGGCTACTTTTTACTGTAACACACACATATATTATGCAAACAAAACCTTTTATTTTGGATGCAATTTTTTTTCTCCTGTAAATTAAAATTTTGTAAATTTAAACCTGTAAAACATACAGATCATGGTAAAGTTCTGGCAACCACAGCTGCCAACTTTTTACTGTAAATTTCACGGATCCCCCCCCACCTCCCTTTTTTATATTATAAAGGTAAATTATTTGTTATATTACCATATTTCATCTTATGAACTATTATTTTTTTACTGTAAAATCTAAATGTAATATTAAACTGTAAAAATAAGTTCTGCCAACCACAGCTGCCAATTTTTACTCTAAATTTCACTAATTATTATTCCTGTTATTCAGGACAAAAACAGTGTGACTTCAGTGGTGCGGTACTGTGCTGTATCTGGGATAGAGAACGGACACAAAGCCCCGATCACAGACATTCAGTGGCTGTCAGAAACATTTGAGGTACACAAGAGGTTAACTGTCCTTTCTTAAAATATGAAGAAAAAAAAATGTTACTGTACCTTTAAGAGTTTAACATTTAATTGAACTGGCCATGTACACACTGAAATATTCATCTTAATAATTTTTTCTCTCAGTTGTCCAAATTAGGGATCCCAGTGGAAAATCCAAGTGGTATTTCTGTTCAGCTGGTGACATGCGCTCCTGACTGGTATCTGCTGATATCTACACTATATGCACACATTCATGTTAATGTTCTAGTTTAGTATCAAACTCTCTCCTCACTGTGTGTGTGTGTATATATATATATATATTTTAGCTGTGTGTTATTCTGGGACCTTCGGCCTCCTCGTGTTGTGTCTCAGTCCCTCACGGACGTGAAACAGAAATCGGAGGAAAAGCCTCTGGAAAACCCTCATGGCATTCCCAACACGTTCAAACACCTCAACCTAACCTGGAAACCCTTTATCCGTGTATGTGGTGCATACAAACATGGTTTTAAGACATATAAATCTCTAGGGCTTTTCACACTGCGCTAAACCTGGGTTAGCGTAGTTCTAAACAATGCATTTTAAACCTGGGAAATCATACGTTTCACAAACTTATACAGCGGCAAACTTGTACAACATGAAACAATAGCTGTGTCTCATTTAGAAGACTGCGCCCTCCGGAGGTTGCATCCTCTGTAGGATGCGTATACGAAGTGTCCTCAACCTGGAATTAAACGAAGCGTCCTCAACCTAGAGTTAAACGAGACGGCCTTCGTAGGACGGGCGGAAAAGGAAACAGGAAGTATCACGTTGTTATGCCAACACTTTTAGAGCATAGTTGTGCTCTCACACTACTTAAATGAAGGAAATTTATTTCTAAATTTGGAAATTAGTTTGAAAAAAAAATGCTTTTACTTGTTTTATTTTGTTCAATGTTTGAGGAGCTGCAGCGTACGTACAGCAGACATCTGTTAGAGAAAAAAGGAAGAGGATATTAAGAACAAAGTTTATTGATTTAAGGTAAGTTGTAAACCACACCTGCCGGCGCCAGCATTTTTCAAATTAACGAAGGTTGTTTACGGCGACGCAAAGAATTGTGGGTTATCTGTAGCAGCAAAGGATACACCTCATGCATCCTCTGAATTCCTGTGAAAGAAGGTCGTATTCGAAGGTCGCATTCGGTGAAATGAGACAGCCTCGATGACATATGCAGACTTCGACCTCCGGAGGGCGCAGCCTTCTAAATGAGACACAACTAATGTGGCATTAAAACATTACGTCTAGACGCTTAGCAACCGTAAACGTCAGAATTCTGAGAATAAGTCAGAACTGCGAGATGTAAACTTAGAATTCTGGTAAAAAAAAAAAAATGTCAAAATTGCATGTTAAAATAGAATACCGAAAGAAAAGTCAGAAGTGCGAGATGTAAACTTAGAATTCTGAGACAAAAGTCAGAAGTGCGAGATGTAAACTTAGAATTCTGAGACAAAAGTCAGAAGTGCGAGATGTAAACTTAGAATTCTGAGACAAAAGTCAGAAGTGCGAGATGTAAACTTAGAATTCTGAGACAAAAGTCAGAAGTGCGAGATGTAAACTTAGAATTCTGAGACAAAAGTCCATATTTCAAGATGTAAATTATGAATTCTGGGAAAAAATATCGAAATTGCAAGATGTTAAAATAGAATACCGAAAGAAAAGTCAGAAGTGCGAGATGTAAACTTGGTATTCTGAGAAAAAATAAAAAAATTGTGAGATGTAAATTTTGAATTCTGGTAAAAAAAAAAAAATTTTTAATTGCAAGATGTAAAAATAGAATACCGAAAGAAAAGTCAGAAGTGCGAGATGTAAACTTAGAATTCTGAGACAAAAGTCAGAAGTGCGAGATGTAAACTTGGTATTCTGAGAAAAAAGTCAGAAGTGCGAGATGTAAACTTAGAAAAAAGTCCAAATTTCAAGATTTAAATGTGGAATTCTGGGAAAAAAAAATCAAAATTGCGAGATGTAGACGTAGAATTGAGAAATAGAAAATGTACACTTAGAATTCTAAGAATTCAGCATTTTGAGATATAAACTCGCAATTGTGAGAAAAAAGTCGCAGTTACCTTTTTCATTTTTTTAAAATTCTGTAACGGAATCAAGCTTCTATAAACAGGTTGCGTGCTGCGTTTGTCCAATCAATGACACTGACACCGCAAATATGCAAATAAGAACGTTTACCCAGGGTTTAGGAATGTACAGTGTGTAATGTAAGTTTATGAATAGGATTACCCAGGAATAATTGTTAACCTTGGGTAAATTATGGGCCACGTAAACCGTGACTGGATTCCATTTACCGCAGGTCTCCTTACCAAAGATTGGCTCTAGCGGTGAATACAGTCCTCTGAAGTTCAGCTTGAGGGACAATACAGTGGACTGTCCTACAGGTGAGACACCAGCACTGAAAGATACACATGTATTTGGCTTGGTGAGACCTATTAAACACAAGGTTAACTGTGGCCGTGCAGTGATGATAATGCAGTCAGCATGATGCCTCTCTGTTAAATAAGCAGAGCTCTGAAATAACATTCACTATCACAGCACTGCTCTACAAACACTGACTCTACAGCGCCGTTTCACAGAGACCATGAGGTCCAGCTGATGAAGAGTTTCTTTTTTTTTTATTTGACCCTCTAACTCTAGCACTCTATTCTAATTCTATTCTTTAAAAAAAAGAATTTTTTTAGACTTGCACTCTATTCATTTACTAACTGCTTGTTTTCTTTAAAAAAAAACTAACACTTGCTCTCTATTCACTCTCTATTCTTTTCGTATTCTATTTGTTTTCTTTTATTTATTACACAATTAACGAAAAGCAAAAAAGGCCTCTAACACTAGCTTGCTCTATGCTTTTTCTATTCTATCTGTTTTCTTTTTATTTATTATATAATTAAAAAAAACCTTGCTATGTGTACTGCGTTAAGCTGAGACTTGTTTATAGCACTTGTATATCATTGCTCTTTTGTTGATTTTGATTGCTTCTATTGTCCTCATTTGTACGTCACTTTGGATAAAAGCATCTGCTAAATGACTAAATAATAATAAAAATATATATATACAGTATACACAGCAAACACAGAGTTCTGGGGGAAAAAAACCTTAATCATCATAAAAATGTAAAATGAAAACAATCACAATATTTAAAATAAATAAAGAATAAAATAAATAAATAACCAAAATATTAATGAAATATTTAATATTTAATACATAAAACTAAATAAAATATTTTGTTTTTATTTAAAAATTCAGTGTTTTATTTCCTGCACGTCATGTGACATTAACCGACATCAAAGAATCGTGAACATGCAAATGTTTTGTTAAATTACAGAAGTATTACCTTGAAATCTCAAGGGGGCCACAAATAAAAATGTAGCTGGGAACAGCTGCATTAGAAGACATTATGCATTACTGTGTGACTCCAAAAACTGATTCCGAGTGTTGATTTGGATCCTGGTTCGAGTTTCTCCTCGTATCCGTCTTCTCTTCAGGAGACAGACCTCCACAGAACGCGGATCGTGAGGAAGGCTGTGGGTTCGCGCAGCTCCGGGTGCCGTCGGCCAAACAGCAGAAACCTCTGGAGAACATCAGCACCAAGCTGTACGTGGGGACGGAGGTGAGACAAACATCTGTGCATTTCACTGACAGAACGGTCAGAACATGTTCCATAAAACAGATTCCAGCTCTACTATCCCAATGCATGAGCCATATTCTTCTAACGCACATAAGCTGCTTGTAATGTCATTGATTTTGACGATTAGTCTATTAATAAATGCATTTTTGCATACTGTGCTTGCATCAGGATGGTGAACTCGTTTACACTGACTGGAAAATGGACAAGGACAACGACTCCGGACGTCTGCTGAGTAAGACACTAAAACAGCCGAACAACACATTTTTACACACATACACAGATTTGAATTCAAAGGTCATGAGTGATGGTTGAGATCTATCACTACTGTACTCTTGATCAAGAACCTGAACCTCCGGCTGCTCCCGGGGATCCCGGCCTGCAGAAAATGAAGACTAAATCATTTTGGATTTAAATCGTTTGCTTTGATTTAAAAAAAAAAATAAAATGTTCCATACAAATACATTATTTAGCAATTTTTCAATGATATATAAATGTTTAATAAAAATTAAACTTCATTAAATGTAAAACACTTACTAAAAAAGATGTCAAAGTACAATTAAAATTAATTAATAATAATAAAAACTATTTAAATAAAAGTTTCTTCAAAAGATGAAACATTTAATTTGAAATAAAGTAAATATTTTTTTTAAATAAACAACATTTAAAATAAAACACTTACTAAAAAGATTAAATTAAAATTTAAATAAAAGTTTCTTCAAAAGATGAAACATTTAATTTGAAATAAAGTAAATATTTTTTTAAATAAACAACATTTAAAATAAAACACTTACTAAAAAGATTAAATTAAAATAAAAGCTAAAAGCAATCATTTGAAAATAAAAGCAGTCAAAATCAAGTACTAACTAAAAAGCGGAACATTTGTATTTGATATAAAAAAAATAATTTTAAAAAACAACCAAAAACAGTAAAACAATACCGATTGTAATATTTTATTTTAAATAAATTCAGAATAAAATACATTTATAATCTAAAAACAAAAACAAAAGACTCAATATTTTATTTTACATAAATCAAAAATGAAAATCAATAAAGAAATGCTTTTAACAAAAACAATCAAAATAAACGCTCACTAAAAAAATATGAAATATTTTATTTGAAAAATGTATTAAGATTATGTAAACCTAATCAAAATAAAACACAAAAGAAGAAATATTTTGCTTCTTAATCGTAATGTTCACTGGACACGCAGGTCAACAAATAAAATATTTCATTTCAAGTGTTTTATTTTTTATCAAATTTAATACAAAAAAGAAATAAGACAATAATACATACAATCGAAATAAAACACTTAGTAAAAAAATTTAATATTTGAAATAAATTAAAATAAATAATTTAAATAAATTAAACAATACTAAAAATAATCAAAATAAAACAATTACTAAAAAGATGAAATATATTTTTAATTAAAATAAATAGTTTTAACAAAAACAATCAAATCAAATCAATCAAAATTGAAATAAATAATTAATCTTAAATTTAAAAGTCTAAATATTATTATAAAGATAAAATATTTCATTTTAAATTAGTTAAAATAAATAAATAGCTTTAACATAAAAACTAAAACATTAAATATTTAAAATAAATAATAAATTAAAATATTATAAAATTATAGATTATAAAATTATTTATAAAATAAAATTGTATAATTTGATATAAA